AAATAATAATAATAACAAAAAACAGAGGGAATAGAAGCAAATACTGTTGAATGATGATGCATGGAGGGGACTGTAATCATTGTAATGAAACGATTTGTGTAAAACTGATGTTCCCCCATGTAAACTATTATTCAATTCACAATAAAACTTAAATATATATATGTATGTGTGTGTGTGTGTGTGTGTCATTTGTAAAATTAAAAGTAATGATATAGTACTTAAGACAGTGCCTAGAATATAACATACAGATATTGCTATTCACCCTTTTGAAAACTAAATTAAAAAAATAGTTTGAAAAAGTTAAACTTTTAACTATAAAGCATAATATTGCAGGTTCTATTGCTAAGAATAAAGATATTAATTAGAAGGCATGAAGTTATGGGATTCTTCCTGATTTCAAAAATGTATTTAAGCATCTGAAATCAGGAAGCAGAGAAACGGGCCATTATTGGGGGAGAAAATATTCACTGAACAACCCAAGAAAGAAACTCAGAGTTCTGGTATATTCACACAGAAAGATCCAGCAACGATCAGTAAGCAAATACTTCAGGAAGTGCCTTTGTGAAGGGCCACATGGAACTCCGTCTCACCTGTTGCTGTGTTTATTGAAGTGGCAGAAATTCCATTGAGCTCACTAGGACTCCTTTTTATGTGCCTTCGATGGTATTCTCGCTTGGGGAGGTCAGATGCAGCTGCTATTCTGTAACATACATTTTAAGATGAGTCAGACAGCTGATGAAGAAAGCAAAATCTCTAAACATACATGCATTCTGTTACAGACACAAGCTTGGGTCATGGGCCATGGTCATAAAGGTAATGCTTTTTATACATGTATTCTTAATTAGCCCAAACTGACAGCTATGATATCTTAAAGGTGATTTTCCCAGTTGTTGATTTGAGCTTCTAAGTGAAATTCATCTTGATTATGAGTGTCTGTTTCTCATAAAGTCTCTGAGGCATCCAGCAAGTGCCTGGGGTATATAGCAGCACTCAACAGTGCCACCGTGGTTCAAACTGACCTTACAGTCCAGCACATTGTTCTGCAGCACCAGACCAGGACTCCCAAGTCCATTCTCATTTAGGGTAACCCCATGTACCAGAGAAAGGAACCCTGGACTGCTAATCACAACATCAGCAATTCAAACTCACCAGTCACTCCTCGAAAGACAGATGAGGTTGTCTGTTGCTGTAAAGATTTACAGCCTCAGAAACCCTCTCAGGGTCGCTACTATGAGCTGAAATTGACTTGAAGGCAGTGGGTTTATTTGTTTGTTTGTTTATGTACCAGAGAACAAAATTCTGCCTAGTCGTGTACCATTTTCATAATGGTTGGCATGCTGGAGCTCATGGTTGTAGTCTTTGTGAATTGTGAGTGGCTTCCAACCTAGGGAGCTCATATTTCAGCTTTACAACCCATAGCTGACGAGCAGATTCACACTCATAGAGATCCAATAGGGAAGGGAAGAACTAACCCATAGGATTTCCAAGGCTGTAAGTATTTACGAAAGTAGACTGCTATATCTTTCTCTCGTGGAGTGGATGGTAGGTTCAAGCTGCTGACGTTTTAGTTAGCAGCCTCGTGCTTAAACCACTGTGGCACTGGGACTCCTCCTTCCAGCACTGTATTGTTAGGTGCCATAGAGTCGGTACCAACTCATAGCGAATCCATGCACAAGAGAATGAAACACTGCCCAATCCTGGGCCAACCTCACAATCGTTGCTACATTTGAGCCCACTGATGCTGCCACTGCGCTAATCCACCTTGTTGGGGGGTCTTCCTATTTTTCTCTGACCCTCCACTTTGCCAAACATGATATCCTTCTTCAGTGACTGGTCCATCTTGACAATATGTCCAAAGTATGAGAAACAAAGTCTGGCCATCCTGGCTTCCAAGGAGCACTCTGGCTGTACTTCTTCCAACAGAGATCTATATGTTCTTTTGGCAGTTCCTGGTACTTTCAAAATTCTCCAACACCATAACTCAAATACGTCAATTCTTCTACGATCTTCCTTATTCACTATCTAACTTTCACATGCATGT